GCTAGAGTGAATACTCTAAACATACATTTCACTGGACAAGATGACCTGACAAACACTCAACACAAGCTGTATGGACCATAGAAGCATTATCCCAAGACACCGCCGCCGCAGCCATCATCATTGCAGGGACAATGGTGGATTCTTTCCTTACGATTCTTTCTTCGGCAATTTTTGTATTTGTGCACAAACTTCACACAGGATCTGAGCTTTATGGCGGATGGAGATGGTGATTGCATCTGTTCCTCTCACAAATCAATTGTTTTGCCTCAGAAAATTTGGAATATTTAAATTTTTTAATAAATTATGACTGTAGTTGAATCTCTCTGTTATATCCTGTGTTTTATTGACAAATGGTAGGTAGGGGCAGGGGTTGGGTTACGTGTTCATACATTTGTTAATAGTGTAAAGTTATGTGAAATGTAGTGTTCCCCTTCTAATGTACAAACTGCCACTTCCCCATGTGTGCCACTTTCCCAATGTCAGTCTTCCTGTTGAGACTCACTCAAACTCTGATGTGACAAAACATTACATTTGTGCCACAATTCAAAGAGGTAGATCTGGATTCTTTGTTGCATTTGAATGTGTAGCTCAATCAAACTTTTGTTGAGTTTGCACACATGAAAAAGGGTCCCTTGAAAAAAGTGGTGTTTGGCAAATCAAAAATTCACAAATCAAACATTTTGAACAGTTGATTGTAAGGCTTGGAAGCAGAAAAATAGTGCCAAGGCTAAAACGGTTGCTTTTGCCCAATCTGTTTCTAACCCTATTAGTCCCCTGCAGCCTGACAGTTATGAATCTTTCATTCTGTCTGGTACAGTTTCGCTTTCTTCTAGACTCTAAGCCAGGGGTGGGGAACGTTGATCCTGGAGGGCCGGTGTCCCTGCAGGGTTTAGCTCTAACCCTAATTAAACACACCTGAACAAACTAATCAAGGTCTTCGGGATACAGGTAGGTATTTTTTTTTTTTCAGGGGTGGAGCTAAACTCTGCAGGACAGTGGCCCTCCAGGATCAACGTTCCCCACCCCTGTTCTAAGCCTAGGCCCAGCAGCTCTCATCTGGGCAAGCTAGACAAGCCTCATGACAAGTGAGATAATCCTGTAAATTCGCTGCACCTGCTAAATCCATGTAATTTCATGGAAAAACAGCAAGACCCAAGAGTAGGTATAATAAACACAGTACATCTCCTTAAGGAGCGAACTCCAGACACTCCAAACAATAGCAAAAAACAACCATGGGTCCAGGAAGGTGGTGAAGCAGAAGTGGACAAGGGGAGGGATGGAGGGCTAGGCTTGTGATACCTGCAAATCAAGGTGGAGTCGGCAGTTCAGAAAGCCTGGGCAGACCAGCAAAGGTGGAGCCAGCAGAGCCAGAGGCCAAGCAGAGCTGGAAGAACAGAAGACCAGGGTGGGCCGGCAGAGCAGGAAACCACCAAGGTGTAGCAGATGTGTAGCCGGACACCCCCAGGATAGAGCAGTCGGAGCTTGAGAGCATTGCTCCACCACAGCAGAGCAGACAGAACTGGTGACCACCATGGTGGAGCAGGTGGATCTTTAGGCCAACAAGGCAGAGCAGACAGGACTGAAGACCACCTCAGTGGAGCAGAAGACCACCATGGCAAAGCAGAATATGCAGGAGACAACCAAAGTGGAGCAAGCAGACCTGAATGTCACCAAGGTGGAGCAGAAAGTGCAGGAGACCACCAAGCAGAACTGATGGAAATGGAGATCAGCAAGGTGGAGCTGATGGAACTAGAGACCACCAAGGCGGAGCAGAAAGTCATGGTGGAGCTGACGGAGCAGGAGAACAGAGTGGAGTTGGAGGAGCAGGAGAACATGGTGGAGCTGGTGAAGCTGGAAACCACCAGGGCCAAACTGAAACAGAGCACAGAGAGTTTTTGGCGACATCAATGGCTGTGTCAGGAAGCTCAGAGAGTTCAGAGTTATGAAGGTATGAAAGAGTTCAGGGACGAGCTCTATGGTCATTTCAAAGCAGACAAAGAGTTCAGGGACAACCTCCGTGATTGTGTCAAAGCAGACAGAGAATTCAAGAGCAAGTGCTGTCGTCTCAGGAGAAGCTGTAGCAGATGCCACCACCTCGGGAGGAGCAGATCAAATGTGTGCAGCCCAAACTCATAAGATGGGTGTAGCATGATAGGAAGTGCAGGCGATGACAGTAGGACCTTAGACTACTGGCATGGAACCAACAGGTGAAGAAGTGCTGAGACCACCAGACTTTAATGTGCTGAGACCACTGGACTTGGGACCACTGAACTCAGGACCACAAGATTTGAATGCGCTGAGAGCACCAGACTAGAGGCTACCAGACTTGGAAGCGTTGAGACCTGTGTTGGGCCAAGTTCCACGGCCACATTAACAATACACCGACAATACATCCAACAATGGACAAGACCTGACAAAGAACATGGGAAAATACTGGGGTTTTAATACACAAGATAACAAGGGGCTAACATGGGACAGGGAAAGGTGATTAATCGTCATGGAAACATACATGGGTAACTACTGGAACTAACAAGGAACATGTAACAGAAACATGCACTCCACTGAGCAAGACGATCTGATAAACACCCAATGCAAATACGCAAGGGAACAAGCAGCAGGTGAGGTGGCTGAAAGTTGATGAGTGCTGTTAGTCAACACTGTCCACCAGCTCTTACCACACCCATGACACATTAGGGAGACAGACATAACAAACCTGCAAACATCCAGACAACTGACAGTTTGATCGCTGTAAGCACATTTTACTTAATGGAAGACCAAAGAGCTGTTAACGATAATGCAGTCTAATTTTCACAATGTTGAAGTAAGTGAAAATATCAAAATAATGTGAGACAAATAAGCTAAGTGACTTTTTTAAAGCATTTAAGGGGGAGATGCATATCTCTTCTACCATCTGCATTAGCTGAAGGTCTTTCTGATAAGCAGAGCTTTTGTGAAGGAATGTAATGATTAGTCCACTGTAGGCAAGTTCAGATGAACCCATGTGCAGTTTATTGAAACATAGTAAAGTCCAAAATCCAAACAAAGACTTGACATGACCTGAACAGACTTGGCTTGAACAGACTCGATTAGAACAGAAACAACTCACCAACAGCAGGTACACAATACAAAGCTAGACAAGGAACAATGGCAACATGAGGGCTACTTATATCAAACAATAAGTGTCACATGACATGTACCAACTAATGAGAAGACAGAAATCATAGCATAGCGTCAGTTCTGGCAGGTCACGTTAGTCAGGCTCGCATCAGCTGACCATCAGCTGATCCACATCTACCTATAGGGATGTGACACCCATCACAGCACTCATATATAAGGTCCTCATTGCTCAACAGCTAATTAAATGGAGAATTCGGCAGGCAAAACACCATCACTAGGAATCGGGAATTTAGCGAGTGGAATTCGTTTCCCCAATGGACTCAGCTCCGATTCATTCAAGTTCGTTAACTTGAATATGTGAATTCACCGCATTGATCATAAGCTGCCTGATTCGGAAGTGACCGAGTTAGCATTACTTCACACATCGCTAATTCATTGACATGGACTCCACGAGTTATGTGACTGACTAAAGAACAAGTTCAGATGGGAACTTCATCCCCAAGAAGGATATCAAGAGATCAAGCATCCACGTCACAGCTGCTATGTTTCACTCTCTCGAAAGTCTTCACAAGCCAAGTTCCTTTTAATGCTCTCAGGTTATTGGCAACATGCGTGTTGCCAAGGTTATCCATGTTGCTTAGGCTCATTTAGTTGTTTTCAGTTAAATGCATGTGCTAGTTTGTGCAACCATTGGCATACTTATCTGTTGTCAGTGGCAACATGCTTGTTGCTGCAATATGCTGCACTAAAGGGACCCTAATGCTATTTCATGCATTCCGAGTTATTTACACTGTGAGCGACCCAAGCGAGAGCAGGAGCATGCCGCTCAACGCGTTTCGTTCATGGTTCGGAAATCATCTTGCTCGAGATGAATGTCTCTAAAGATTGTGTGTTTTTGGATGTGAGGAAAAGATAGCATATTCAGTGTTATGTGAACAGTAGATGCAGTTTGTTTTTCCGGGGCAGCAATGGAGTTTCACAAGCGTGTTTGTTTGTTCCCGTAATTCGGTGACTAATGTTTTATAACAAGGTACATTCTGACACAGGATTTGCACATCGTTTGATACTGAAAGACGGAGCAGTCCCAGCATTAAAATATCCTGGTCATGACTAGTAAGTGCTGTAAAACTGCATCAAATGTCTGTGTTTGTTGCCAATCCCACGGCTCGCCTTCAGTAGCTCGGCTGTTTTGGAGAGAATCGTTAAGCTGTATCTTTCTTTATAAATCTGATAAAACTGAAGACTCTTCGGAGATGTGAATGATGCAATACTACACTATAGGTACTCAAGATAACATGAGATTGGCCGAAACTGTGTGTGTTATTTCACCTTTAACCTACTCAAGTCGCCTTTATTTTTATAGCACTACAGCAAGATTAAAGCAGCAGGAAATAACGACCATGATGCAAACGGAATAATTTCTGCTGAGGCCTCTGGGACAGACTCATGAACAGGAGAGGCCTCAGGAGCACAGTGTGCAGCCTAAATACTCAAAATGGCAACCGCCATCACGGGCAGTGCAGTAGACAGTGGGATGCCTGGCGGGCTTGAGAGTGTTAAGGCTGTCAGTCCTGGCCCAAGTTCTGCATCCACTGGAGCTCAGTTACTATAGCCCCCCAAAAAAAATCCTTAGGGGAAACTTGCATTGTATCCATGGCAAGACAGGGTTCTGGCAAGGTGGCCATGGCATGACAAGTCTCTGGCGTGGCAGCCATTTTGACTGTAGGCTCTGGCATGGCAGTCATGATGGGTCGAGACTCAGGAATGGCAGCCATGACATGGTTCTGACGTGACAGCTGTGGCGTGGCGAGGCTCAGGCATGGCAGCCATCTTGGACGGGGAATCAAGCATGGCAGCCATCTCATCTCATCTCATCTCATCTCATCTCAAGAGCCTCTCCACAAGACGGCCACCGAGGCTCTTGAGTAGCAGCCATTTTGTGAAGATGCTCTTAAGAGGCAGCCATCTTGTGATCATGCCCTGGCTTGGGAGGCATGACGTGAAGAGGCTCTGGCATAGCAGGCATGACGTGTGCAGGCTTTGACTTGGCAGGCATGATGCGAGCAGGCTTTGGAGTAGCAGGCATGACGTGAGCAGGGCCTGGTCTAGCAGACATGACATGAGGAGTTGCAGGCATGACGAGAGCAGGCTTTAACTTAGCAGGCATGAAGTGAGCAGGCCCTGGTGTATCAGACATGATGTGAGCAGGCTCTGGAGTAGTAGACATGACGAGAGCAGGCTTTGGCTTGGCAGGCATGACATGAGCAGGCCCTGGTATATCAGATATGATGTGAGCAGGCTCTGGAGTAGCAGGCATGACGAGAGCAGTCTTTGGCTTGGTAGGCATGACGTTAGCAGACCCTGGAGTATCAGGCATGATGTGAACAGCTCCAGACATGACGTCGGTACGCAACACAGCTACCCTGCTCCGGAGCAGGTTTTATTCTGGGTTAGAGATCGCAAACCCAAACTGGACCACTCAGCTTTGAGCAAAGTGACATATCTGATGCAATGAAGCCACTCCCCTGTATCTCTAGCGCCAATTCAATGCAGTTAGAATTTTAGAGACAAATTTGTCAGACTTTTGTAGCTACTTATTTATTATATTTATATTATATTAATTATAATAGTTTCTTATAATATGTTCATATAATTATATTAATTATAGTAATATTAATTATAATATTATTAATAATAATACATATTATCATTATTATAACATATAATCATATAATAATAATTATAATAGTTCATAAAATTATTATATGAAGTGGCGATTAATTTTAATCTTTGCATTTAAATTAAATATAGATACAGTCAAATCAAAAATTCAGACATCAGATATAATTTCTTTATATTTACTAGAGGGTGCAGGACACTATAGTTCATAAATGTAAGTGAGGATAGCGATAGGGCTGTGACATATTATACCCAAAAAATCTTAATACAGTGGACTACCAGTAAAATTTGGGATCAAAAAATATTTAGACACTTTGACCTGACCATGTTTTGCTTAAGTGTTTTTTCTTTAATTGCTAATGCAACCTTTTTACACCACAGACTGAACAAAATTAATCAACGCTTGGTAATTGGTTGACCTAAATTGGTATTATCTAATTGTGTACTTAAATTTAACAGCTGAATAATTTTTGGTTGATTGAAATCCATTACATACCTTTCGATCAAAGTTATCTGACATTATCAAGACAAATTTCTTCTGACACAGTTTAACTCTGAGTTCTTGTCATATTTTATTACCATTTTCTAAACTATAGCGAATAAACTGTGATATAATGTGAGAAATGTTGAAGTTGTATAGATTTTGGTTTGACTGTACATATAGATAAGCTTTAATATATCCAACTTTTAAAATGACTAAACTTAACAAACTTATGTTTTCCGTTTGAGCCCTGTGTGAAACTATATAAATGATTAAATTCAATCGATTCTTTGCATAGTCGTATTTTTTTTCTGCTGCCTTCTCAAACTTTTGCTGCAGCAGAAGTGTTTATTCCTGCCTTGTAAATGCATTTAAATTTATTTACAACAACATCTATTGATCTTCAGCAGAAAAGTGAATTGTGCTGACTCTCACGAGAAGTGAATCCAACTGACACTTTGCAGATGCTCTCCACGTTTCGTGTAATTGGCTGTTTGCTGCACACGTCACACTTTCAGGCTCTAGAGTTAATAACAAACTGGTTCAAACTCTGAGTTGACAGAGAGCATTTATATCGAGCTTTATGAGCCCGCCAATCCTTATCTAAACCAGGTTGGATTTGTTTGATTTTGTCAGCTCTAAACCTACTCTGAAACTCTGAGTTTGTTCATCTCACTTCATGCTACAGGCCACTGATCTTTCTTGTGGTGTCTGTGTCTTGTTTTTTGTGTTGACGTTGGACAGACACTCAAATAAAGTGTTCAAGTAACTCCTGAAACTGGGTCTAAACAGCTGATCTAGGCAGGTCATGTAGGCTACTAAACAGTTCCCTTAACAATTAAGATGTAATTGTGGTGTCTAAGTCTTCTGCTACTGATTCTGCATTTATCTGATGGTGTGTGGATTTTATCTAAGTGCTCAGAAATTGCAGCCACCCCTCTTAAAACAGTTGATCGATTAATCAATTTTGAACCTTTGCTCTTTTTATGAAAGCAATAAACCTGCTCACTGTTGGTGAATAATGCCCTCTGGCAGATCTGCTCCTGCCTAATGTTATGTGAATATTTCAACAGCAGGCAGAATTCACTTTTGCTCTCCAATCAATAATGCTGTTCTCACTAGCAATTCACAGCAAAGTAACACTTGGGCACAACCATATTTTTATATGGGATGTAGAAAAGTACTGTCAACAAATAATCAGTGAACTGTTATAATTAAAAATATTCAACATTCAACAATAGCCAACTGGATGGAGGATGGAGTTACAGGATGGATGGAGTTACAGGTCCACTGGAACAGTTGCAAATGTGTTCTGAATGCTTTTTTCAGGAGTTCTGGGTGGTTGCCGATCGTTCTGATCAGGTCTTAACTGTTACGGAGCCCCTCACCCTAATTATAGCCAAAATTAATAGGGATGCTTACGTTAAGACGCACTGGTAAATAAAGAATTAACATTAATTAATATGGAGTGTCAATGTAAACTAAGTGCAAATAGCCTGCCATGTTGGCAAAAGCTATTTAAACTAACTCCACCCATCATTGTCTGGTTGAGCCAGACAAAATTACAAAATTGCTTGTAGAATGGCATGGAGAGTTTTCCCAATACATGTAAATGCCTAAATATATAGTGTCTTGCACTATTTATTTGTATAAATGACATTAACACTATTTACACTTAGTGCAAAAAAAGTCCTACAAAGAAAACACTACTGTATTTGCATGTGCAAATTGTGTCTGAATAATCATAAATAAATTACATATATAAACAGTGGCACACTGTCATGGCTTTTTCATGGAGACAGGTGTCTTGAGTTTCGACGTAAATATCGTTCTATCCAAAGTGATGCATCTGCCATGACTAGTGCATAAAAACAGTGCTGTGGACAGTAGATTAATAGCAAACTTTCTTTACACCCTGGCTGAAGGTCAGGAAACGTCAAGCACTTACAGGAAGAGATAACATTAAAACCACACAGAGATATAGAACCTCAGCAGCTATGAGGGCCATTATTTTTGCTTCATAACTTTAAAATTACTTTGCTCCAAAAGACCAGGCTTCACAGATAATTAAAAAAAAAAAAAAAAAATCACAGTGCAGATCCAATTTGAGATTATTCTTCATGAAGAATATCACTGTGAAAATGAAAAATAAATTATATGTGTGTTTCTATGTGTAAGCATGCGGTACTGCAAATCTTCTTTCACACATATACAGTGTGTCAGGGGTCTGGGTCTGGTGTTTCTCCCTCTCACCACCAGAGGTCGCCATTTCCCATCCTCCCGGACTCCTTTACCTTCACTCCACTCACCTGTGCACTTACTCACACACACACAGCTGTTGCCCATCCTGATTTATACTCCTTCCCCACGCCTCTCTGGGCAGATTATTAATTGTTGTTACGTGACTGATGCAAGCTCTAAGTGGCTGTATTGTGTCAGATTCCGTTTTCTGTTCTGAGCCTGTGGTCAGATTCTAAGCTCTGTTTGTGTTTCTGTTTTGGTGTTTACTTTGTTTTTCCCTGCAGTTAATAAAAACCTGCATTTGGACCCAGAACCTTGTTTACACAGTGGTGAGCATTTATGTTACTCTGGCTTTTTCCCCTTCTGGGTGGTTTCAGTTATGTTTTTTGTTTGTTTTTTTGTGAGTTATAAATAAAGACACCCCATCTGCCTGCATTTGAGTCTTCGCCCCTTTCGAACCGTGACAGTACAAACGAGCCCTTTGAAGACTCAGCGGCGATGGGGATTTTTTTATACCCAGCTCCCGGACGACCGAGGATCCATACCCTTGCCAATGGGCCGCATCCCTGCCCACAAGAAAATCGCCCCTTTGGGCTGTACGCCGAGGACCTCTTCGATGCAGGCCAGGGGCTAGGGCTTGAGGAGAACACCCTCATCCACCTGTTTCTAGCGGGCCTGGACGAGCCCGTCAACTGGGAGGTGCTGGGGGAGCTAGATACGTGGTCCTATTGGGAGATGGTCGACCACATCATCTATTTAAGGGAGGTGGAACTGCTGGAGGGTGCCCCCTCCCAGTCTGGGCTTCCGTTCCAGAACCTCCTCAGGTCGTGCCGGCCACTTCTAGGTTCTGGGGGTCATTCTCTGAACATCCCGGGCTGAGACGCAGTGTGGAGGATCCGTCGGTGAGGGAGGCGATGGTGCCCGCTCACAAGCCTTCCGAGGCGGCGGTGCCCACTCATGATCCTCCCGAGGCGGCTGGGTCTGTTCACAATGTTCTCAAAGTGGATGTGCCCGCTCAGGATCCCCTTGAGGCGGCGGCGCCCGCTCGCAAAGCTCCAGAAGTGGCGGTGTCCGCTCACAGTTCCCCCGAGGCGGCGGGGTCCGCTCACAAAGCGCTCACAGTTCCCCCCAGGCGGCGGTGTCCGTGGTGTCCGCTCACAAGCCTTCTGAGGCGGCGGGGCCCGCTCACGATGTTCTCGAAGTGGCGGTGCCCGCTCACGGCCCTCCCGAGGCGGCGGTGCCCGCTCACGGCCCTCCCGAGGCGGCAGTGCCCGCTCACAGTTCCCCCGAGGCGGCGGTATCCGCTCACAGTTCCCCCGAGGCGGCGGTGTCTGCTCACAGTTCCCCCGAGGCGGCGGGGTCCGCTCACAGTTCTCACGAGGCAGCGGAGCCTGCCATTTCCCGTTCCAAGGCGGCAGCTTCACACACACCACTGTGGTGGCCGTTGGTTCTGCCCTGGATCCCCATCCCGCCGGCTCTGCCCCAGTCTCCAGGT